CGAATAAAAATGATAAAAGCACTTTATGAAAAAGTACTAAAACATTAAAATACTAAGAAAACTTCAATTAACACACACTGATCTTGTTGTCTTGGCTGAAATAGATAAGTACTCAAATTACCTAAACTGAAACCAAAATAAAAATAAATCAAAGATAAATACAAATATACATACGAAAATACTAAAATAATACTTAACACAAACACACTATATATATATATATATAAAGTGAAATAATTAATAAATACTATAATAACATTAAAACATATTAAAATAATACTTGTCTGCACACAGATGATCTTTTCTCAGAAAAATGACCTTTTGATTAAGATATAAACATCATTTTTGTTAATTCATTATGTAGACTATTTTGGTTACACTTTATTTTAAGGCGTCCTTGATACAACGTAAATGTACAATTAATTACTAAGTAATATTAATTAACATGTACTTATTATAGGGTTAGAATTAGGTTTGATTTATGGTTAGTTTGACTAATTCTGAGTATGGGTCACCATACTTGGCCACATGTCACTTCACTTCACATGCATGTGTAACAAGGACACTGTAAAAAAAGTGTTACCAACATTTTATCTGATGTTTTATCATTTTCACAAGTGCACTGTCCTTCTTTAAAATTCATGTTTACAAAATTAATGTATACAAAATAGCTATTGGGGCCGCTGCAACACAGAACACAGCACACCGACTCCTTCCCTCTTATTTTTTCTCAGCATTTCTCTCATGCATCTGTTTGCTCCATACATACAGGACTGTGAACGGTGAAAGATTCCTCTTCCCAAGTGATTTAAGGATAAAAAGACTTGATGACATAACTCATCCAGTGACGCATGTAACTCCGGATGTCTGAATCTGCAGCCACGTCAACTGTTACCAGGAGAAGACCGGCCAACATCACTTATGTAGGTCGCATTAAAAACACATGCGGCGCACGCAGATGCCAATTTTCAAAGACAGCCCCCTCTTAGAGCAGACTAGAATCTACTTCAGCAGAACTGAGCAGCTGTGATCATACTGAGGATTATTCGTGTTGACTCACGGAGCTAGCTATGAAAGAAGCCCACTCGGATCAAACGCAAAGTTTCTTTCGTGACCTAAAGCAAAGGCCAACTAAAAAAAGTCTGATTTAAAAATAAATAAATAAATAAATACTGCACTTTTTCATGCTTTTCATCTATTGTGCTGAATATCCCATGATTCCATGTTAGAGCAAGAAGTTATGAGCAAAATATATTAATGAAAGGAGATCTGCACGCTGCTTGTAGGCGGAGTTAATAAAATGATGCAAATTGCATTATAATTAACTCTAAAAAGTGGAGCATTACCCTTTTATGTAAACTGTACTTTAGGGATCTCGCATAACAATGCACTCAGCTACAAGCACTTTAGACATAGTGTGACCAGATGTTCAGTGGTCCAAAAGGGCTTCTATTTTTAATACATTTACATTTTTTAGGACAGCAATTAGAGTGAAAAATATGAATATGATACTGTCTTTTGTTTAAATGACAACCGGCCTTTTATACAAAGGCTTTTACATCATCAGTGTCACAAATTTGCATACACTAGTGTTCAAAAGTTTGGAGTTAGTAAGATTTTATTTGATTTTTTTAAAGAAATTAATACTTTTATTCAGCGAGGATCCATTAAACTGATTAAAAGTGACAGAAAAAACATTCACAATGTTACAAGATTTCTATTTCGAATGAATGCTGTTCTTTTAAACTCTCTATTCATCAAAGAATCCTTAAAGGGATAGTTCACCCAAAATGAAAATTCTGTCATTAATTACTCACCCTCATGTCGTTCCAAACCCGTAAGACCTTCGTTCATCTTCAGAACACAAATTAAGATATTTTTTTATAAAATCCGAGAGCTTTTTGCTCCTGCATAGACAGCAACGCAGCTGAAATGTTCCCAGGCACAGAAACGTAGCAAGAACATCGGTAAAATAGTCCATGTCACATCAGGGGTTCGTAATTTTATGAAGCTACGAGAATACTTTTTGTGCACAAAGAAAACAAAAATAACGACTTTATTCAACACTTTATTCTGCCGCGGCGCGCCGCCATTGTGGAGAGTATCACGACGCATGCGTTCTGTCATCTGCATGTAAACGACGCATGCGCATGCTGATGCATGTGCGTGTTTAACGTAAGCAGCAGAACGTGCATGCATTAATACTCTCGCCACAATAGCGGCGTGCCGTGGCAGAAGGGATGAGGAGGAGAAAAATGGTTGAATAAAGTCATTTTTTTTGTTTTTGCGCAAAAAAAGTATTCTCGTAGCTTCGTAAAATTTCAGTTGAACCCCTGATGTCACATGGACTATTTTACCGATGTCCTTACTACATTTCTGGACCTGGGAACATTGCAGTTGCGTTGCTGTCTATGGAGGATCAGAAAGCTCATGGATTTCATCAAAATATCTAAATTTGTGTTCTGAAGATGAACGAAGGTCTTACGGGTTTAGAATGACATGAGGGTGAGTAATTAATGACAGAATTTTCATTTTGGGTTGAACTATTCCTTTAACAACAGATGTTTTCACACAAATATTAAGCAGCACAACTGTTTTCAACATTAATAATTATAAGAAATGTATCTTGAGCAGCAAATCAGCATATTAGAATGATTTCTGAAGGATTATTTGACACTGAAGACTGGAGTAATGCCTGCTGAAAATTCAGCTTTGCATCACAGGAATAAATTACGTTTTAGAATATATTCAAAAAGAAAAAAAATTTTAAGTGGTAAAAATATTTTCATTTTTATTTTATTATTTTAAAAACATTTTCAATTTGGACACAGACTTTCAGACCCCACTGTACACTTAAGTCTGCATTTATTAATCTGAATGTATAGTATTTGTGCTTCAGTAACTTACGGTAGGCGGGTCGGCAGGGGTCACTCCAAGTGCTGTCAGTCGAGTGGTTACTGGACACAGAGGAGACGCTAGAGCTCCGAACAAACCCAAAGGCGGCCAGACGAGCCGGCGGGAGGTGCGAGTAAATGGGAGGACGCAGGCCAGACTGAGCTGGCTTCGGCAGGAGGGATTTAGCAGCTAACCCAGTCACCACTGGCTTTCTCTGATCTGAGGTGAAGAAAACTATGATTAGTACTCAAACTAACTCAAAAAACACCATTTGTAAAATAGAGCTTTGGGAAATAAAAGTCACATACTGCTTTTCTAGTATATGTCAATATGAAGGTCAACTATGCATATCATACTCTTGTAATACTGCTGTGACAAAATGAGGCATACATGATCACATGACTGATTCAGTTGAGAAACAGATGGAACACAAGGAACAAAGAAAGTGAGTGTTGTGTCCCGAAATGAACAATTTCGAAGCAGACTAGCCTAAAAGAGACTCACAGTAGGATAGAAAGAGAGAAAAACTGTAGTGTTTTACGACCTCTCTCTGGTGCGAGGTAAAGATCACTTTAAAAAGCTCCTGAAAAAATCATAAAGAGGAGCTCTGACCACAGCATGTCATGGCCATTCATCAACATCTATACCACTGTAGTATTCACATGGAGAAGAGCGATGAGTCACATTTCTCATCCACTTAGGGAGTCTAATTTAATGCAAAACGTTTGCCAAAACATATCATCTTAGATGGCTCATAAAATCCTTATATGAGCTAAAAAAATTGTTAATATAAAACTGAACAGAGTAATAATTTAAGAAAAAAGTAATATTAATATATATATATATATATATATATATATATATATAAAAATGTAATTTATTCATTTAATTAACCTTTTTTCCCCATAAAAAGAGCCATTTCAGTGTCTGGTGCTTAACATGAGTTTACCGTCTCTTGCAAAAGCGCTTTCTTTTTTAATTAGTCCAGAAGGACAATCGTTTAAGAGGCCATTGGTTCCTCTAAAACCAGCTCTGCACAAATTATTAAGATATCACTGCTTAATAAAGGCCTCAACTGAATAGAGTAATGGATTTTCCTTACCCCATGTGCTTATTATTACACCAGTGAACATGATAAAAGCTGTTTACATACAATTAATAAGGATTAATATGAATATCTGTTGTCTTTTGCTTTCCCTATCAGTTCTTTGCACTGTAGGTCTTCACATCAGATATCTGTAATGCTGGCAGCACAGGGACTGTTCTGCTGTCGAATCAAAAAATTATGATTTGGAAAAGCACAGGAAGAAAAATATACATAAATATGCACATGCAAAGAGCTACCGCGGGGTGAATTTAGGGACCCACTTCAAGGCTTGCTTTGAACTCCCAGACTCCCCCAACCCAAGGTCGTACTTTGGGGCAGGTGGAGAGAATGCTCCCCTCCTGCTCTTAGAGATAAAGCACCTTGACTTTATGTCCCTGTGATTGCAGCAAAGCGTAGCGCATACTAAATGACAATCTATGATTTCTCATTTCGTCTGTCGCATTCTCAGATGTTTATTAGACTGCAATGTCAGCAGTATGCTTCGTATACACATTCTTCACAAATGAAAATGCACACATACACACTCAAGCAAATGCACACAACAAAGCACCCTCTCATCCATTCATCTCCAATCAAAGTTGCCTCGGCTCCATCGCTTCCCCCAGCGACCCCCACCCCAACCCCAGGCCATCAAGGTCTTTAATGAAATTGCATGCAGCTTCTCCATGTGAGGGTGACCATTAAAGATAAATGTGTTGCTGTTCTCACTCTCCGATTTTTTCTCCATCAATCGTCTTTATTCCTTCCTGTTCCTACTACCCCATATTTCCAGACTTGCCCGGATCACACAAAATAATCATCCCTCATGGCTTTGATTTAGCATTTTCAGTGTTTATTTATTTATTTTTCCTACAATGAAAGTGAATGGTGACCAAAGCTGTTCCCACTCACTTTTACTGTATGGAAAACAGAAGCTTGTACATTCTGCTAAACATAAATTGACATAATTTTCATTTTTGCGTGAACTATCCCTTTAACACCAAAGGGGTGTCATTTTCCCAATCTGTTTTGGAAATAAATAAGAAGTGTGTGTGTATGTGTGTGTGTGTGTGTGTGTTTGTATGCAAATGTATTATTATGGCTTGCAGCTCAAGAACACATTGATTTCTTAGTGTTAAAATGCATGAATACATTACTAGAGCACTTTCAACAAGCCCTCACTTAAACAATGATAAACCACATCAATGAAAAATGAAATACAACTGAACTATATGTCATGTTGATAAAAACACGAACATGCATTGTACAATGAAAAAAGATGGTACTCTACTGGTCTGTTTACCTCTGATTTTAGTGATTGCTATCTAAAGACATAACAAAGCCTAATTAGCAATTGGTGATTCTTTAATATTGTTCTTCTGTTTATTGTACTTCACTGCATTAGACAACTTCCAAGAAGATTTTGATTATATACAGTGTTTAAAAGGAGCCCAGTGGCCAGAATCAAATCTTTTCATTGTTTGAGGGTGTAAATAAATAATGTAGCATGAGATGATGATAACTACAGTGGAAAATGATTTTCTTTAGCAAGACAAGCAAGAGTCTAGTCACACCAGGCGAGGTTAACCTTCCTCTTGAATTCTTTTATATTGCTGCAGGAGTAAAACTCAAGCCTACGCACTAGACTGTCTCTTTATCTTTTGTAGCATAAGCATCTTTACACCATAAAAATCATATCATGTCTCAACTACAGTTAATAATTTTGATCAGGCATAGTTATTGGCATGAATTAACTGTTAATTGCTTTGCACTTCAAAGCATCACAAACAGAGACAAACAGCAAGAAATCGGCATCCGCATGCATTGATGGAGACTGTCATAGGTTTTCAGTGAGATATCAATATGCAGATAGACAGGTGCCCTCTAGAAAAAACACGGAGGGTGATGGCAGTGCTGGTAGTGGATTTAAGATGAAATAATTCATATCTTCACCTTGGCAGGCAAAGTTGTCGGAAATGAAGTGTGCTTTAGAAATGGAGAGGAACTGTTAAGCTCAGACAGAACTCCCTCATGGCACAAGATGAATGTGAATTTTATTTATATTCAACTGAATGCCAGGAGGTAAAATGTATTTTACATTGACTAGTGGCTGGGATGAGTTTATCTGTAACAATTACAAATGCATAGCTGACAGGGATGAAAATACTTCATATGGCATTCTCTTCCTTTCTTCCATTTAAATCTATTCATCTCAAAATACTCCAGAGTCACTTCTGCCCTTAGGATGAAGCCTTGGTGATTCTAACAGATTCTAAGACTGCTCTGGCTTGGGTTTCCATTCAACTTGCCCCAGTGTAGCATGTGAAGCATTCAATTTTACATGACAGTCATAAACAAGACCATTTGACTCATTCTGCCATGCAAAGTGAACCATTGATCTTACCTTGAGGTTCCTGAGGGGTTTGAGTGGTCGGGTTTACTGCCTGCATTGGTTGACTGAGGGTCAGTGGTGACTTCGGCTGGCCTGTTAGGACCATCCTGTTCTTGGCAGTTGCAGAGGGAGTCCTGTTTACAGCACCAACGCCAAGCTGGGGTCTTGACCCTCAACATACCTTTCGGCACCTCGGTTGACATCCTTTTCCCAGCATTCTGCTCTGCTTCCATTTGGAATTTTTGCAGTTTTACTGCTCCATAAGAAGGATGCATTAGCTTACTTCGGTCATATTGTGGTTCCTGAGGCAGTGTGGTAGAGTTATGGTTTTGGTCCAAATCACTGGGAAGCTCCCTGTTTCTCTCTGAGTGGATGTAGGACTCGGTAGTAGCTGGATGCTGGTTCCTGCCTTTGTCTGAGGTAGACTTGGTGGACTGGGAAGAGAGAGGCTGTGTGCGGCCTGCACTGTCCAGGGCACTGGCTAAACTTCCACTGAGGCTGGTCACTGCAGAAAGAGAAGATGAAAAGACATTGCCCTCAGAACCACTTCGTGCATCTCTCAGGGTCCGGTTCGCACCAGAGCGAGAGTTGGAGGTCCTGAGGTCAAGGGGCTGAGAGTTCTCATTTGCATCTCCATCCACATTATGGTTTTCATTGTGGTCTTTCCAAGGGGAGCCAACAGTGGTGCTGATGGCTGTAGATGAAAACTCTTTTTCACTGAAGTTCTTTGCTCCCTTTCTGCTTCTTTCACTCTGCATGTCTACCTGTTCTTCTTCTTCCACTACAAATGTTTCTAGCTCTTGACACTCCAGCAGTTCAAACTCTTCAAGCTCAGGGTCTTCACACCGAGCATGTGTTCCCCAGATAATGATCCTCTCCTGGGCTTCGGAGTGCGACACCAGAGGGGGTAGTGGGCTGCCATGCTCTCTGTCATCTGAATAAATATTCTCTTTGGTGATTTGATTGGCATTGGCGTCTTCCACGGTTTCTATCAAAGACTGCTTGTCGTCGTTCTGTATTTCTTCTTGTTGGTTGACTTCACCGACTTGTATCTTTCCTTGCACATTCATGTTGTATAAGTCTGAGCTTCCCTCTCAAAAGCTCCACGATAATCCTGGATCCATCAAAGGTATTGTTCTCTCACTTGCCTGTACCTAGGCTTTCAAAGTTTACAGTTTGGATGGAGTGCAGAATCACAACTTAATCTCACATTATTTCCATTTCTATTCCAAGATACCGTCAAAGAACTGAGCTGTATTTGTTTGTTTCTTAACAGGGCAATGCACTTGATGACATGACATCACATCAGCTTTGAGGACCTTGAAATGCCTTGTTCATTCATCTGGTGCCAAACCTACACAGAAAATAAGACATTACATGTTGTAAGCAGTGCAGAGTGTGCTTCAGCAAAAACTATCCCACATGGGTTGTTTAATTTCCATCACAAGATTTGCATTTATTTAGATTAGTTTTTAAATTCTCAGCCTTTGGGGTAAAAATGCACAGTTTATTTTCTCAGTTTTCCTGACTAAAGCAAAACATCATTCTTGTTATATTGAAGGTAAGGAACAAGATTTAGAATTCTCTTGTATGGCTGTTTGCTGTTTCATTGCAGTTTTCAATGAATATAAAACCGCTTAAAGGCACGCACGACTTCTGTAAACAAAGTAAAAAGATGTGCATTTACATTTATATTCTTGACAGAGCAACGCATAAAACATATTTGACTCAACTAAAAGGTACAAATGCTGGAGACAAGAAAAAAGATTATTGCATATTTGGCAACATTTTCAATAAGTCAGAACTTATGGCTCCTCAACAAATGAATGGTCTCAGTGGACTATTTACTCACGTTTCTTCACATATTTCATGGCATCCTCTGTTAAAACCTCAATTTAGTGCCCAGTTTGGACTGACAAATCCACTATGGCAAATTTATATATTTTTTCAATTGGTTTCAGCAAACTACTAGGTTACCTTTTATATTAATTATGAATATTTCCCTAAAGAGGTACAGTAATATGCCTCCACCATCATACCACAGTGAACATACAGTATTCTGTGGGTGGAAATCCAAAATAAAGCATTGTAATGTTTCATACACCTAATTCGTTTCTCTTTAAAAGAACCACAAATTGACAAGCCAGTGTAATGAATAGGAAGTCTATTGACACAAAGCAGTAAAATGTTTGGCTCAGTCCTTTAATGGCAGATGGCAGTACCTCCTTTTCTCTAGTAATTAAATTTTCAAATCTCCACTGCTGAGAATTATGTATGGCCAAATCAGGAAGCCAATTTGAATAAATGAAGACTGATGTGCTGCTGAAAAAAAAAGATGAGACAGAAATGTTTCCCCATGTGTTGGCTTCTTACTGTGCAAGTTTGCCCAACAAAAAAACAAAAAAGACAATTAGGGAGAGTGTGAAACGGCTTGTAATTAACAACACTGCTCGCGTGGGACAAAAAAAAAGCAGTCACAGTCAGTTAGGGGGTAGAAATGATGAAAATACACCATTAATCAAAGGTAGGGTTTTTTGCATCTCTATAAAACATTGACACAACAGCTGTTTGCCTATAATTATGATAAGGACATGCAAACAGAAAGCCAATGCTGTTTCGTTATGTAGTTATATAGTCCAAACCAGAAAAAGGAACAAAGCAAGGGCGTTCTGACATTTTCCCAATAGGGAAAAGGGGGTTGGGATTGTTTCAGGTGCTGGCTAGGTAGAGTGGGTGGGTGGTCAGTGACTTAGGTGGGCTATAATCAATCACAACATAGATTTGTAAGAAGAGAGAGGTTGCCTTTTTTCCCACATCAATTCTAATGATTTTTGCTCCAACAGAATTGAGTAATTTATGCTGGAATAACAGAAAGAAGTGACCACTAAATCACTTCAAGTGTAAGATGCAAGTGCACATGCTTGTGCAGGAAATCAGAAAGGAGATCCATGGAAAAGAGACAGCCCATACAATCCATATCACAGTCAGTTAAATGGGCAACAATCTGAGAACAAGCATATTGACGTTGCGGCACCAGACTGTCACATAGTTCCACCCACAATCCTGCAGGCTGATGAGTGCTAAAATCACCCACCCACATACCCACCAGCAAATTAAGACTGATATCAAGGTACACTGCATATCGCGAATCCCATAATTGCACAAACATATATAAATATAAGCGGTATTGACACAACATATCAACGGGTGTTTTTTTCCTCAAATTTATTGTGTTCAATAAACTTCAATGTCGAGCATGATATGTTCTATGATAAAAAGTGCATAAAATAATCACCAGTATATTAAATTATTGCTGTGATTACATTTTTGCTAGATAATCCCAAAATTGTTTATTTACATAATACCAAAGTAAAATGTTACGCCTATGTTTGTAAGTTTATTTCTTCTGGTGAGCACACAAAAGATATTTTGAAGAACGTTGGGAACCAAACAGTTGACAGTAGTTATTAAAGGGATAGTTCACCCAAAAATGAAAATTCTGTCATTAATTAATAAAGTTGTTATTTTTGTTTTCTTTGCTTACAAAAAGTATTCTCGTAGCTTCATAAAACTAAGGTTGAACCACTGATGTCACATGGACTGTTTTAATTATGTCTTTACTACCTTTCTGGGCCTTGAACGTGTCAGTTGCGTTGCTGTCTATGCTGGGTCAGAAAGCTTTCGGATTTCATCAAAATATCTTAATTTGTGTTACGAAGATGAACTAAGGCCTTACACGTTTGGAATGACATGAGGGTGAGCAATTAATGACAGAATTTTTGGGTGAACAATCCCTTTAACTTCCATAGTATTTTTTTCCATGGCCATAAGTCAATGGCTACCGTCAACTGTTTGGTTACCAACATTCTTCAAAATATCTTCTTTTGAGAGATAGATAGACAGACAGACAGATAGATGATAGACAGATAGATAGATAGATAGATAGATAGATAGATAGATAGATAGATAGATATTCCATTTTAAAAACAAAAGGTTGTGGTTGCGAGTGGTTTTGAGTGAACGCCTCAAGTTGTCTTCCATTGACACACTGGCTTTAAAAAGCAAGGCATGGTCAAGATGGAGATGAAAGACAGGAAGGAGAACTCTGTCCTGAGACCATGTTCTACTTAAACACACTCTGCCTTCAAGCTGATAACAAACTCCCAAGCCTGCTCTCTCTAGCTCTTACAAAACACTCAAGCAGTTCATGCTGAGCAAACCTCCTATTTTTCTACAGAACACAAAGAGGACCTGTTCCTGGATCAAGATCTTTGGTTGCTTTTGGAAGTACATTCTAGGATTTACATTCCAGTTATTAGCGCCAGTAACATGACTCCACCTCCTAATATTTCCAGCCCTATGGTCCAGCCTGATAGTGCCGTTGATAATGCTAATAGACTATTACAGCTTGTTTGATCTATACGTAGCCTATGTGCAGAGTGTAGGTATGAGCTGAACAAATAAATCATGCTAACACTGTAAGCTCAACAGTCAAGACAAACAATCTATTAAATGTTCGTAGCTAATGTTCTAGTCCTGCATGCTCATTATCAATCTACTTCTTTTCCCGAATTCACTATAATGCAACTTAACCCTCTGGTGTTGTTCGGTCATTTTAGACCTGGAAAAAAAAATTAAAAAAAATTTTTTTTTTTTAATTGCTACTTATCGGAATGGTACGAAACCCGGTGACTTTTGTGGCAGTCGCTATGTGACCACAAAATAAAAATAATTGTGGACTTGAGTCGAAAAAGCTAAATGGTCGTAAAAAAAATAGTCACACTTGTGTTGTTCGCGGTCAAAAATCACCACCATTGGAAATGAAAGGGAAATGCGCAAAAATATGAATATACACAGGACTTTTTGTGTGTACAATCTATAAATCATTCACGATGCAGAAAAAGAGTGCACAGCAATGAAGGGGTGACACTCTAATATCAAGAGTGCAAAATAGACACACTTTAACCTCCCTCATAGACACACATATATGAACTAGTGTGACTGTAACACAAAGCATGTTTTTGCAAATGCGTGAAATAAAATCAGTAATTCGGCCAAAAATGCAGTCAAAACACAGACACCAAGGAAGGGGTTATACACTAAAACATCAAGAGTACAAAACAGACACACACATTCAAACACACACTCACTTACACACACTCACAGACACACACACAACACACTATTATACACACACAATATGAACTGGTGTGGCTGTAACAATATGGCAAAATTGAGCCAGAAGACTCAAATAAGAGGTTGAAATCAGATTGATTAATCTCTGATAAAGCATTCCTGTTAATTTTTGTTAAATTTTTGTTGAATTTTGATGTTACATGTAACAAAATGTCTTTCTCTGTGTTCAGGTTTTTTCAACCAAAATTTAAAAAACAAAACAAAATCTAAACCTTTACAAAAAGTTGTCTTTGAGAATGTCTAAATATATATCCAAATGCACAACTTAATAAAAACAAGTCTTTATGCCTAAAAACAACTAGTGCCTTTTATATAGAGCTATAGTAATCTAGTGGCTAAACCATGGAATTGCAAATGTTTTTCTTTTTTTACTCCCACCAGATGGCACTAATCTGACTTCAAAAATGTGATTTTAAAGGCATTGTCTCTATTTTAACATGAAATACTGCCATAATTGAAAAGTAATATAAAAATCTTAGAAACAAATTGTATTATTTTCAATGGGGAAAAAATGAATATAATTATTGCATAAATATAAATGATTACCATGAAATTCTCTCAAAATACAAAATAAAAAGAAAAAATATTATGGAACAAAAATATATTACATTGATTTTACTGAAAATAAAAAAGTTACATTTCAGGTGTTCAGTCAGTTTTGACCGCGAACAACACAAGTGTGACCCCCAAATGAACAATACCAGAGCGTTAAGTAGGCTATACAATATGTTAGCACACTAGAAAAGCTTATTAAAGGGATACTCCACCCCAAAATGAAAATGTTGTCATTAATCACTTACCCTCGTGTCGTTCCAAACCCCTAAAAGCTTCCTTCGTCTTTGGAACACAATTTAAGATATTTTGGATGAAAACCGGGAGGCTTGTGACTGTCCGATTGACAGTGTAATTTACTTGGCAGTCAATGTGACAGTCACAAGCCTCCCGGTTTACATCCAAAATATCTTAAATTGTGTTCCGAAGATGAACTAAGCTTTTACGGGTTTGGAACGACATGGGGATAAGTGATTAATGACAAAAAATGTTTTGGGTGGAGTATCCCTTTAACTAAAACACTGTCCATTCACACTATAGCATTTTG